TTCCTGGGACTTTTTTAAAAAAAAGGTTGAAGCAGCACTTACCATGAACACCAATTCAGCATATTCAATCAGGAAATGAAAGAGGTATATTATTAATGGGGTCTGAGAGAGAGAGAAAGAGAAAAACAACGTCAAAACTTGCCAAGCTGTCCTCAGATTATACAAACAACTGCCAGTTTGAAAGGAAAAAAAATGCAATGCTATTGTGTGGGAGTCGCCAAAAGCTAATTTCCTTGCTGTTCTTGCATAAGACAGTTACTGCAGCGCAATACAGACTGAGGGACTTATCTGGGAGTCATTCAACATGCAAAAAAATCAATAGAAACTGAGTTTGCAAGCTGAGTGAGAGATCAGGTTCTACTGGCTGAAAGGTGAATGGCTTCTCCCAAGCATCTCGTAGGGCTTGCAGAGAAGCATACAGGCCAACTTAAAACAAAACAAAACAAAACAAAACAAAACAAAACAGTCCTTTGTTTTAAATCCTCTTTCTTACTTTCGTTACTTCAATAATACTAGAGTTACACTAAAAATGGAAATAAAACATTTTCCCTCATTGTTCAGCTCTTTACTTTGTATGTTTAACAGTTCTTCCTATAGATGCAGTTTAATCTGTTCATGTGGGTCTTTTGCATAAAAACAGATAAGAGAAAAGCATTTGCAAACATAAATAATTGTGCTGGTAACAGTATCACTTTGCTGTTCTCTCTTTCTGATTCTTGTTAAGGTGAGAGGAGGGGTACATCTACAGTTATGCTATAGCACCAAGGATTAATGCAGTGTTTTTATGTATACATAAATCTAAATTTAATCTCCGTCTATTTAAGTGCATGGGTGTGCATTACATTTTTATTTTTTCCTCTTTTGGTCATGTTAAAACAACTGGATTGTCTAAGTGGTGATCGGGGGGGGTCCCAGACTATTGGAAAAGGTCAAATATAGTGACAATCCTCAAGACAGAGAAGAAGGAGGAGGCAGAGAACTACAGACCAGTCAGCCTCACTTCAGTCCCCAGCAAAATCATGAAGCAGGCCCTCAAAGAATCCATTTCTAAGCATTTGAAGGAGAAAGTGATCAGGAACAGTCAGCATGGATTCACCAAGGGCAAGTTATGCCTGACCAACATGATTGCTTTCTATGATGAAATGACTGGCTCTGTGGATGCAGGGAGAGCAGTGGACATGATATACTTTGATTTTAGCAAGGATTTTTATAAGGATTCCCACATCATTCTTGCAAACAAGCTAAGGATGTATGGGTTGGATGAATGGACTGCAAGACGGATAGAAAGCTGCCTGGATCGTTGGGCAGAACCAGTAGTGATCAATGGCTCAATGTCTAGTTGGCAGCCGGTATCAAGTGGGGTGCCCCAGGGGTTGGTCCTGGGGCTAGTTTTGTTCAATACTTTCATTAACTATCTGGAAGATGGAATGGAGTGTACCGTCAGCAAGTTTGCGAATGACACCAAGCTGGAAGGTAGGGCTAGGATTCAGAGTGACCAGTCTTAGACAAATTGGAGGATTGGGCCAAAAGAAATCTCATGAGGTTCAACAAGGAGAAGTGCAAAGTCCTGCACTTAGAATGGAACAATCCCATGCACCGCTACAGACTGGGGGCTGACTGGCTGGGGAGCACCTCTGCGGAAAAGGACCTGGGGGTTACAATGGACAATAAGCTGGATATGAGTCAATAGTGTGCCCTTGTTGCCAAGAAAGATAACAGCATACTGGGCTGCATTAACAGGAACTATGACAGGGGGAAGTCACAAGGCCAGGAACAAAGCCAACCTGTCCACCTGTCTAGGGCAGTCTTCCCTGTCTCACCTGCCATAATTTGATGCATCAAGAAAGATGTAATAATGCAGGAGGCTGGCCATTTTATGCCCAGATGCCAAGGGCATTATAGACGGCTCCGACCTCCCCTATACCGTGTCCCATTCCTCGCAGATGGCATCCAAAGTAAAAACTATGCCTCAGGCCTCCTCATACATGCCTGGGCATCCTGCCCTCTTGCTATGACCTCCAATCATGCCCTTTCACTAGGGCCTTCATCACTGAACTGTTTGGGCCGGCCTCCGTGCTGTTCTTCAAGTCACATAGACCCTACTCTGCGCCTTCATGCACAGTCCTTCAGGCCGCCCCTGCAAACCCTACTCCATGCGGCCTGTTACCCACTTTATGTCCCTTCACTGGGGCCACACTTCCACCCCCTCACTGGGGCCTTGGGGTTTTACACCCCACAGGGCTTAGGTGTCCATAGGCATGCCTGGCCCTTTCCTGTCTCTACTGCCAGCTTACCCACCAGGTTGTGGGGGCTGAGGCTACAAGGCACACCATACTTGCCTTTCACTAGGGAGGCAACTGGTATGGTATTTCCTGGGGACCACCCTGCCACAGACAGTCCCACCACACCATCCTACCCTAGCAGAGTGTAGTTTTACATCATGCCCCAGGACCATGAACCTCCTACCATCACCACAGTTTCTGCCCTGTACCTCCAAGATGTTATATGAGCAGCAGCTCCAGCCAGGTTCTGTTCTTCCTACAGCTGTTGGCCCCTACTACCCAAGGCCTGTTCTTATATCAGGCAGCTGGTCCCACTTCCCAATCAGGCGGCCTCCTGCTGGGCATGCGACTCCTGATTGGGAATGGAGCCACCTGCAGGCTGCTCTGCTGCCTGTTCTGGCCCTTAAGGTGGCAGGCACCAAAGATGCCTTGCCACACAAGCACTGCCATCAGATCAAGGGAAGTCATTATTCCCCTCTATTCTGCACTGGTAAGGCCAAGTACTGTGTCCAGTTTTGGGTCCCCCACTACAGAAAGGCTGCAGACAAGTTGCCGAGAGTCCAGCAGAGGTTAATGAAAATGGTTCGGGGGCTGGGGAACATGACTTCTGAGGAGAGACCAAGGGAACTGGGTTTATTTCACCTGAAGAACAAAAGATTGGGGGGGTGGGGAGGAGGAGATAGAAGCCTTCAACTACCTGAAAGGTGTCTTACAAAGAGGATGGAGCTAGACTGTTCTCAGTGGTGGCAGACAACAGAACAAGGAGCAATTATCTCAAGTTGTGGCAATTAAAGTTCAGGTTGGATATCAGGAAAAACTGTCCCACTAGGAGGGTGGAGAAGCATTGGAACAGGTTACCTAGAGAGGTGGTGGAATGTCTACCTTTGGAGGTTTTTAAGGCCTGGCTCAACAAAGCCCTGGCTGGAATCATTTAGTTAGAGATGGTCCTGCTCTGAGCAGGGGGTTGGACTAGACAACTTCCTAAGGTCCCCTCCAACCCTAATTTTCTATGATTCCATAAGTAAGAATTAGAAAATATTACAATAGATAGGGGAAAGGCCTTTGTTAAACAACAAGAAGGCTTTTACTAAAGTATGTAGGATTTTCAAAATGACTCTGATTGAATAAATGTGCAAGTCCAATCAATGAGGCATAATTACAGTTTAAGATTAAAAGAGAAACAGAATTTAAGACAAAAACAAACCCCTACCAACCAAGGCCCTAATCCTTAAATTCCTCCTGCTGTGAGATGTCCCACTGATTTCACTAGTAACACCTGTAGTGGTTAGAACTTGACCCAGCAGCGTTTGCAAGACCAGACCATTAAAAAGGAAAAGAGTCTGCCCCAAGAATGAACTCATGCATTTATTGTGTCATTACATTACTGCACCACAATTTTTTTTAATTCTTCACCTTCAGCAGACCACAGCTCTGATCTTGCATGTAAATGTTTATGTATGAGCTTAATAAGACCCTCCATGTCTGCAAACTTTTTCCTCACATACAAGTGCTTAGAGGATGATGCCCTTATGTGGCGGAACAGGAAGAGCACTGGCCTATTAGAGCTTGCACTAATATATCTGCAAAGGTAATCATGTTTAGGACTGACCACTCAGTAGCTTCAATCCCACTGTTAGGGCTGCTGCCATGGATGATAACTGGCATATACAGGGAACCCCCACTTAATGCTGTTTCACTTAGCGCTATTTTGCTACAATGCTCCTTTTACATTCATACCTGATTCCACTTAGCGCTCAACCAGTTTTGTTATAATGCTCATGGGCATCAAGCAGGGAGCATACACTAGCACTACAGCATATTGTTGACGCACAGGAATTGTTGTACAATTTAGCTCACCCATGCCTGGTGGGGCTATGATTTGTGCTGGGGGAGCCCCAGACACTGAGCCTCGCTCCCACTGCCTGGAGTGACCATGACTCTGGCCATGACCACCCCCATCTCCCACCGCCCAGCATGGAGGGCATCAACAGCACCACCTCTGCAGCCCATGCCTAGGCAGATGGGAACAGCGCGGCACCGGCTGAGCTGGCCCTGAGCTACCAGGTGTTCATGTTGTTGCTGCCAGGCACCCTGGTAATGAATTATATTTATTTACATTAATTCTTATAGGAAAATGGGTTTCGCTTGATGCTATTCTGCTTAATGCTCAGTTTTTAGGGAACCAACGAAGAGCACTAAGTGGGGGTTGCTTGTATTTGATCATTATTAATCCAATATGGACATCACAGTGACTCCTGTGAAGGTAATTGGAACCTAATGTGCTTCTCATGTTACAGCGAGTCAGTAAACTTAGAAAATGCAAACATTAATTTGTCTGTGAACATTCTTTTCATACTGCCAGTAAAAATACCTACACTTTCTGTTCCCTTCCTTACTACTAAGACCATCTGCATGTGAAAAGAGCATTTGTTTTTTCTGAATATCTTTGGTCCTGATTTTATTGCATGCAGTAGCAATCAATCATTAATTACAAGACCAACAATTTTTATAGCAGCCAAAAAAAGCTGATTGCCAATAACATCGATTTTCCTTTTATCGGTGCCGATATGATATGGACCGATATATCAGTGCACCTCTACACTTGACTTGTCATTTAAGTTTTTAGATTAAGTTATTTATTTATGAAATTCACACACCCTCAGCCAGATACTAGAAGCTTTCAAGACAGCATTTTCCCCCTCTATAATTATACAAATTAGAAGCCTAGTAATATGAAACATGAACACTTACTTCATGAAAAATATCTCCAGAATATGGAGAGACTCCCAAATCCAGCAAAGATAATCCTTCGACCACTGAAACACACAGGACACCCACATTAAAATACCTGTGATCCTAACAATTTCATGTTCACTATTTGAAGAAGTCACTCACACCCCTCGCCCCCATATAAAACTGGAGGAGGAACTAAAATTAGGTCTTCTGTGGTTTCTTCCTACTATGCAAATTTGTCAAATTGACACCATATGTTACAATTTTACAACTCATTTCAGGCAATTAAAAACCTTGCAGCTGGCATGTTTTGCAATTAACTATATAAAGTAGACTTCACATGTCTGACTAAAGGCATACCAGTACCTTTGATTTTCTTACATTATATTTCTTCTGAAATAAAAGACATTAATACATGGTCTGCACTGAACATGACATTAAGCAAAGGATCAAGCCATTAACAAGATATGCACTTTGAAAGGAAACTGGGCATTCTGGACTACTGTGTTTGCCTAGGCCACAGGTGACAACATCACCCTGTCCCCTGACTGGATCTGGACTGCAGGAAGGTGAGTGATGATATGGGGGTTAAAGCTGTTTCTCATCCCCCACCACTGACATGCATGTTAGGATTTCTATGGCATGCCATGAATTCCTGGCCCCTCTAGGAACCAGGCTACATAATGCAGCCTGCAGACCATAAGTTTGACAGCCCTGTACTAGACAGACCAGGTGCATCCCTATGCAGCTCTTTCACAGACCAGAACAAGAGGTACATAATTACAGGTGCACCGATACATCGGTCTGATATAGGATCGGCACCAACATAAAGAAAATTTACTGCATTGGAAATTACCCTGATGCAGCCAATAATTTGGCCGATAAATGGCCATGCACGCGGGCAGCCACAGTGCAGCAAGTAGGTGACAAGGAGTATAGGCCGGCAGCTTGGAGAGCTGTGTGCAATTAGTAAGTCTGTTGTGGTGGAAGGGGGAGGGAAGGGGCATGGGGGGCACAGCTCAAGGCCCGCACAGTGAGGGAGTAGGGCTGGGGTAGGCGCTGCCCAGACGGGGCAGGGTGAGATAGGGTGCAGGACAGAGCCATGGCTTGCAGCAAAGTCCAAGGGTTGTGGGGGAGAGGGGGCAGTTTCCACTGCTGCGTGCACCCTGGGAGGGCAAGGGGGGTCATGTGCCCACAGATCTGGGTGGAGTGGACTGCAGCTGTGGGCTGGGGCCAGGGCAGCACCAGGCTTTTCCCGGTGTGTTGGAGGCGGGGAAAGGAGTTGGGCCAGGGCTGTGCTTGGAGTGGGTGGTGGTGGCGGCACTGGGAAAGGGGGCTATGGGAGGGCTGCAGCAAATTGTGTGGTGGCTGAAGCCCCCCCATACCCCACTCCCAGCACCACCACCTGCCCTGAGTGCAGCCTAGGGCCAAACCTTCCCCCACCCTCCCACCTGCTGGGAATAGCCCAGCCCTGCCCTGGACCCAGCCCACCCTGCCCCATGCAGCTCTGTGGGCACATGCTCCTCCCCCACCCTCCTGGGGTGCACACAGTAGTGGAAGCGCCCCCCCACCCCAAGAGCCATTGCTCCGTCCAGTGCCCCCGCACCACCTGCCCCAGTCCCACTCCCTCCCTCACTGTGGTGGGGGTTGAGCTGCCCCCCACTCCACCACAACAGACTTAACAGCTGGACGCAGCTCTTCAAGCTGAAGGGCTGCGTATCGGAAATCGGATCAGTATCAGCCGATATGCCTCCTTAAAAAAAAAAATTGGCTATTGGTATCGGCCCCCAAAATCTCTATCGGTGCACCCCTGTAAATAATTATGATTGTATTATGTATCTAAATTTTAAGGCAAAGCTGAAAAACTTCCCATATTATAAAAATTGCATATCTCCCATTATAACCCGCTTTTAGTTATCTATAACCTTGCTGAACTTTAACCATTTTTACACCAAAATTTTTCCATTTACATGTCGAGCTCCAGCTAAAATATATATATTTTAAATTCCAGCTAAGATGATTCAGCCATCTGAGAAGATGGCTAGTGGGATGAAGATGTTTTGCACATGTTGAAGATTGCAGGTCATCTTTCCTTTGGCAAGCTGCAAGACTCCCATGCTTTGGAGCCAGAACTCAAACATTGGCAGGGCTTTGTGTTAAAGAAATGCCTCTGTCATCTCTGTGAAAATCTGCGTTAACACCAGTGTGATGCTGTTGCCAAGATGGTCCTGGAAATATGCAAAGGGCAAGAATTTTTGTAAGGAACATCTTTTATTGAATCAACTGCATAACTGGGAGAGATTTAAACAAGCCTTTAGGAGTAAGGCCTGAGTTTGGATCTGAGAAAGCTTATACCTGAAATCTACTCTAAATCTCTCCCAACCATGTAGTTGATCCAATAAAAGATATGGTATTACCCACAAGAATCCTCCCCTGTTGCCCAAATTTGTCCATGTTCTAAAAAGCTGCAGTTCACTTGTGCTCTATAGGGACTTGTTAGAGCTCCAAAAAAGTTATTTACAGGTAACGGGTGCAGTGAGCTTGCTCCAGCATACAGCTGGGCAGGACTTTCGCTGCAACTGTATCTCTGGGCTGCCATGGAGTGGGTCTAGGTACTGACAAAAGACAGCTTATCTTGTGCACTTAGTGACAATCCTGCTGGATCCAGGCAAATGAAGAGAGAAAAATATTAAAGAGGCATGCAGATAACCCAACAGTGGGGAAGCTGGGCATGGGAAATAGTTTGAGAGACTGGGAAGATACATGGCAGAAGAAAGCAGACAAAGATCTATACAGGAAGAGGGCTGAGAGTAAGATTGGGTAAGAAACATAGGAAAAGGACCTGGGGCTGGGATGAAGTGGGGACAGACAATGGGAGAGCAGAGAGCATGCAGGGAAGATGCAGACAAGGAGCCAGGCCTATTCGACACACAGGGTTAAGGTGGACTTGACGCCCACAGAGCAAGGCTTAGCCTCCCCTGCCCTTACTGGTCACACAGGCCCCCTCCCCTTGGGCCCGGCCTCGTGCGCTGTGTTGTGGGGGGTCAGCACCGCGCGCCGAGGAAGTCTGTGGCACCACGGGCTCATCTAGCCCCGGGTTTGAATTGCAAGCAGCGCAGCACGGAAGCAGGAGGCTGAAGGAAGAGGGAGGCCGGTCTAGAAAGGGGAGCACGTCTCCGTTTCACGAGACGCCTTGTGGCGCCGGCCAGGCTGTCATCGCGCTCCGCAGGGGCCGCACCAGCGCCGCCAACATCCTCCAGGGCTCCGGGCCGCGCACGTGGCCGGGCAAGGCGGGGGCCCGTGCAGGCCCCGCCGGCCCCCGGCCCGGCCTCACCTCTCTTCCAGGCGCTTAACGGGGACGATACCTCGACCCGATCGGAGATGAAGGCGGCCAGGCTGGAGCGGTAGAGCACGGCCCGCACCGTCACCGCCACCAGCACCCCCAGCACCAAAGGAGCCGCCATGTCCGGGCGGGCTAGGAGCCGGGCGCCTACGGACCAGCCCGGAGGGGAGGGACTACAGCTCCCGGCGCCCCGCGCGGCGCGCACCCTTCCGCTTCCTGCACCTACTGTGGCTTACCGGGCGGGCTTTGGGACAAACTTAGTCAGGAGGCAAAGTTTGACTGCTCTTCCCGTGCCCTAATGCACCCCCATGACAGGGAGAGGCTGTGCACGAGGGAACAGGCGTCCCTCACGCTGCGGTGGCCAAGCCCTACAGCAGCCCCTGCGTGTCTCTCCCCCGCACTACTCGTTGCCCACAAGCACAGCAGGGCTCTGGGGACTGTGCACCTGTCTGCTGCTAACGTGAATCATGAGCCTTTTAGGGATCAGGTAACTAAGCTGTCATCTCCCTCTCCTAGCCCTCTCGCCCAGCAGGCCCACGGGCAGGGGCAATTGCTGTCTGCAAAGGACCTGCCCTGCCACAGATCAGGCAGCTCTTCAGGGATCCAAGGAAGGGGGGGAATGAGGTCAATGAGAGAGGAGCGGCTGGCTTCTTGGACCACAAGTGCCGGTTTGTCTGTGGCCTCGCTGCCCTGGGCATGAGGGCCTCCTCCAGCAGGGACCTGGCCTCATCATGAGCCAAGGAAAATTGCATCTGTGATCAAGGTTTGCTAGGGAGCAATTGGAATCTCCTCCCGGGCCTTTACTTGCACTTTTATTTGAAGACATGGCCTTGAGGTTTATGAGTCCCGTGAGCTACTGTCCATGGCAAAGTAGTTTCCAATGTAGTTTTCCCTTCTGCTAGAACGGATGCTGCTGAGCACAGCCCATTGTATTTTAGGAACATCTCACATGGAGAAAGATTTTGGTCTCATTTTGCAAATCCATTTTCGGTATGGGACCCACCCAATCCCCAACCCTCCCTAACCACAGACCTTATCATGTTGTTATTAAGCATCCTAACTGTTGCATTGCTAAATGCTGTGCAAATTCCAGACCACTATAAGTAGGATAGTGATTGCAGGTGAAAAACCTCAGAAGGGAAGGGGAATGCGCCATTCCAGAATAAGGAGCTTCCCAGAAAGAAAATTAATTTGTAAGGTAAAAACCCTGCACTCCAGTCCTGCTTTGTCAGCCTATATGATAAACATAGGTTGGAAGAGCTTGGTGTATTACTGCTGCTTCAACAACAGATGGCATCATGTCCCAATTTGGCAAAGCTACCATAGATGAGATTTAAATTACAACTAAAAAGCCACTGTAATCAATTTAATTCCCGTCCTCTTCACACTGAAAAACAATGCATGGTTTGGGAGTTCTTAGAGATTTCCTTTGCTGGATTAAATGTTGAGCCCTTTTCAAGGAGTACAATTATCGTTCAAGTCCCTTTAAGACCCAGGTGTTATTACATCCATCAAAAGTCTATCTGAGACCTGGGATTATAATTGTAGTCTTTGCCCTGTCTTAATACATTTGATTATTTTGTTAGTTTAGAAGGTTGTAACTAGCAAGTAGAAAATGACCTGTGGGATGTTTCCTTGACTATGTGTTAAGGAAAGCTCTTTGGATTATGTTTTCTGTCCTTTTGTTAAAACAGAGCAATTGTTTAGGCTGGAAAAGAGAAGAGTGAGAGGGAGATTAGGTATTCTATTAAAAGGCAAAAGGCAAGATAAAAACAAACCAGACCAGACCATTCCTTTTGTCTATCCAATATCCTTTTGGATATTAGAAAACAGGGTGGTGGCAGGTAATCACTAAAGAATATACTTATTTTCATAGCATGCAATCATCCTGTAGAATTCACTCCAAATGCACTTGAAAAAGGTTGGGCAACTCCCTGGCTACAATATTGGTACTGATCCAAGGGCTGTGCAGTCTTAAAGTTATACCATAGCTGTGTGGCCACTTTGAGGGAATGGAGAGAGAGGTGCAGCATATCTATGCCCCTGCATTTGCTGAGACAGCCATAATACTGCCAGGGCACATTCATTAGAGGCAACATCCTACAAAAAGGCAACAGCCTGTGCTCTGGTTGGGTGTTTCAGGCTTGTGGAGTGTGGAAGGGGCTAGAGTGGATGTTCTGAATCAACCTTTTTTGAAGAGAATTCTGTTCCATGGTTACCTGTAATCACAGGTGGCTGGATTTGATAATCTCCAAAGTCCCTTCCATTTGTATTTTCCTTCAACCACTGCCCCTCTTGTTGCATGAGTAGGGACCTACCAAGTACATATATGATTTCATAGAAATCATGTAATTGGTAGTCTCCCATGAAATAGCCGGTTCCCTGTGAAAAAGTGTAGGG